ACAAGACAAGCTCATAGTAATTTTCTCTATTTTATTTGGATCACAAGACTTCTCCTTTTATTTCATTTATGAATAATATTGATTGTTTAAAAGAAAATTAAATTTTTATTTTCCACATAACAAAAAATTTTACTATAAAAACACTTGACGCATTTATGTCTCTAAAATTCAAAACTACTTTCAGCAGTGTTTATTGTAGTGGTTAAATCTACATCATCTAAATACATTTTCAACATATTAGATTTAAAATTTTCAAATTTCAAATTATGATTCTTTAATTTTTTTTTGGAAAAATTGAAAACTAAAAGATAATCTTTATCTTATATTTTGTACATTACAATAATAAAAATATAAAAATAAAATTATATTAAATCTGAACCGTAATATTTTAATTTGGACGAATCATATATGATAATCATCACTTGGATGACAAGCATCCAAAGTGAACCCCAAATATTTTAGACTATGGCATGCCAAATTCTGAAATTTTAATTTGAAACTCTTTTTGGGCAAATGAATTTGAAACTTCATTAATCGAATTTAAAATCAGCATGGTGTAATATAAACATAAAAAAATAAGGGTAAAGTTGTGTTCAATATCTTGATATTATTTTCTCGATGCATCCGGATATTTTTTTAGTTACATCCAGCACTCTAATATTTAGAGTACTAGATGCACTACAAATGAGATTAAAATGCTCGAAGCACAAAAAAATAATATCAAAATACTAGATGCATCATAAATAAGATTAGGGTATTCGATGCACCTAGAAAGTAAAATCATAAAGCTGAATGCCACGTTACCCCAGACAAACAAAGCAAACTAAACTGAATGTTGAAGCTTTTTGTCATTGCTAGCGAGCTTACTGTACTAATGATTTAAATGCGTTGCATGCAATTGTTGGAAGAAAATTTAAATTAGTGATCCAACTCATATATTTATATATAAAAAAAGAGTACATTATTTTGGTACCAAACACTTGAACTTGCATTTTTGTCCTGTAATTCTGAACTATGGTATGCTCAATGTTGAAATTTTAATTTGAAACTTTATAGTATTAATCTTTTTAAAATGGAGAGGAAAGCTACAGCAAATTCATGAACTAAGTCAAACAAGAACTAAACCTAACCATCAGATTACCTGAACTTTTTTTCTTAATTTTTTTTTGGAGATTGACTTTTTGAAATTCATAACAATTAAATCAATCATAATTAATTATTGGTTGTAAGATGCATGAAGTAAGCATTAATACAATAAAATTAATGTACCCCCTTTGATTCTAAATGTAAAAATTAATTAAGGGATTCACTTGGTTTAAGATCTTAATAATCTTTTTAAAACTATTCCTATTGATTGCACATATTATAGAAGAGTTTTTATTAATGAGGCGGCTTCCAATGAAAATTATTGAAGGGGTACCTTAGAAAACCAACATAATTATTTTTTTAAATAACTAATTTAACTAATATTTTTATTGTTGTAATTTAATTATCTAACCCCTTCATCTGTGAACGTTTGAATATTTATTTGAAGAATAAATGTTCCTCAATTTTTTTGGAGATTGACTTTTTGAAATTCATGACAATAAAATCAACCATATTAATTATTGGTTGCATAATATAATGCGGGTTAACGCATTAATTCACTGATGTTCATGCATTTCACCTAATGATTCTAACAAATAACATTAATGTACTCCCTTCGATTCTAAAGATAGAAATTAAGGAATTCACTTAGTGTAAGATCTTAATAATTCTTTTTTAAACTATTCATATTCATTGCACATATTAAAGAAGAGATTTCATTAATGAGATCATCTACAATGCCAACTATTGAAGGGCTACCTTACGAAAACCAACATACTTATTTTCGCAAATGACTAACTTGGTTAATTTTTCGTAATCTCCGTAAATTTTTAAATTGAATGTATGTTTTTCGAATTGGTTAATTTTTAATCTAATTGAGTTTCACTTGTCATAGTTTGAATATATATTTCAAGAATAAATGTTAATTAACCCAAATCCTTTTTTTTTTTAATGATGTTATATCCTAGGTTTTGAGCCTAGAAACTGATGAGTAAGAATAAGTTTACCTATTATAATATTGAATGAACCAAATGTCACTAGAATGACATGAGGAAAAGACCTAAGATGATAGTGAAAAGTCTCAAGCATTAAAATAAAAGGGATTTTATAATATATTTTTATATAATTAAGGAATTTTATAATGTTTAAATGGCTTAAAATGTTCATAATTTGAATTAAAAATTATATAAATTAATTGATTAAAAGTGTATTTGTTTATTATGATCTTGTGGATATTTGAAAAATTAAATGGATAATGGATATATGAATAAAATATTTATTCAAATTCAAAATACGATAAATGAATTATTCACAAAAGAAATTAATTATTCAAGCTCTTCAATTTAGGGTGGAAAGTAGGAGATATTTTGGTTGATGTTTTGGATAATTTTAAATTAGATAATTGGGAAATTCTCTCTTAATGCTAAGTGGGTGCCACAAATGTAGTTTTCATGGGGTCTATGTTTTGTTTGACGGGATATTATCTAGAATCAAAGCAAAGGCACCTTTAAATTCAAAAGCTCTTCCTTTTGGTTGTCGTGAACATCAGACCAAATCAAGAGAATTCAAATTCAAGTTTCACTACTACAAAATGACAAATACTTGACGGTTATTTTGGGTCATATTTGACAGTTAAAAACCGTCAAATATACTGCGTCATATATTTCAACACAATATTTGACGGTTATTAACCGTCAAATATTTCAATAATATTTGACGGTTTTAAATGAAGAACCGTCAATTATTATGCTGAATACTTGACGGTTATTTCCTAAAAACCGTCAATTATTTTGAAACAATTATAAGTATACTTGACGGTTTTGAAAACCGTCATGTATTGTTAAAAAATACTTGACGGTTATTAATTAAAACCGTCAAGTATTCTATAATACTTGACGGTTTTATATAATAACCGTCAAGTATTGATACAATACTTGACGGTTTGAAATGATAACCGTCAAGTATTATATGAATACTTGACGGTTTTAATTAATAACCGTCAAGTATTTTTGGTAATTTTTTTTATATATGCGTTCTGCTTTCCCAGCAGCCCCCCTGTAATTTTGAAACTGAACAAAGGCTCATTCAACAAAACCATGCAGGCCAGCATTCAAACCAATTCAGCCATATACATCTTAATGAACCAAAAATAATTTACATTATTATATATCCATGAACCAAAACCAACTGCGATATTAAAAAACTTGTGTTTAAGGCAAGTAATATAAAAATTCTGGACAAGTACAAAAGTGAACCAATTCCAAAATTAGCCAATTGCCAAAGTTGTGCCAATGCCAAAAATGAACCAAAACCAAAATTGAAACCAAAGCTGTACATACACTGTCTTAATGTACACTTCCCTATCTATTTTGTGCCCACTGACGGAATAAGGCCATCGCCAACTCTTCAACGATTTCTTCCATCTGAGCGGATGAATACACTGTGCAATATGTGTCGGCAAAGTACTGTATGCAACCACAAATTATGACATAAGTTAGATATAAATGTAAAGCTACAGTAAGTACAATTCTTAAATATATAAATTGAACTTTAACAAATGCATATTACCTGCGTAGGGATTGTGTCAGCATTGTGCATAATTATCTCCTTCATAAATTTCATCACGCAATATCCACAATGGGAGCTTTTTTTGGGCTGACGTGGGCACTGTAAAGAATGGAAAAGGAAATAATATTAGTCAATCATATAAATAAACCATATTTAGTAGAATAGTAAATAATGGTAATGAATACCTTCACTTTCTTCCACGGGAAGGTATCGTCAAATTGGCCGTTTTTTACCGGGGGCAGGGTAAGGCTTGATTTGTGCGGTATAGCCACAAAGCCCTGAGAAGACAATAAAATTGAATATTAATGATTGTCAAAAATTAGATTGAAGCAAGAAATTAAATTAAATTTAAATAATAGATATAAATGTTACTTGTTGAACAATGAAACCATAAATGGTCGATTGGTTGGATCCCCATGAAGAGAATCAAGATACCAAATCCTCGGCTTTGTGGGATTGACCACAATCAGCATCCAGTGTCCCCTAAGTATAAGAAAGACAATTAGAACAATTACAAATTATTTTGAAAATGAAAGAATTTAGGAAAGTTCAGTATACTACGTACGTACCCTTGACAGTAAGGCGCCAAAAACAAAGTCTGAGCCCCCGGTGCTGCCCTAGAAATGAAGATATCCAACAAGTCTCTGGATAAGTCTTTCTTCATATCAGGTCCGTGGCCAGCAAAAGTGTGGGGGCTGATAATCTTGAACTTGTCATCAAGGCCACTGGGGGCTATAAAGTTCTTGAAAAGATATCTAAATCAACAAACAAAGATATCAATAGGATAAATGCTCAAGTACTTAAGTATTTAGTTAAGGTTTTAACAAATACCTGATATAAAAGTTACAGGCATTTGTGCTGGCCATTCCATGCATCAGAATTTCTTTCAATACTTCATTCGTGACGTACTCTGACGAGGGTCGACCGTAGACCTCTGGCTCAAACTCTAGGGGAATCATGAAATCCTCGCCATGTTCTAATCTGGCCCCAACTGCATATTCCTCAAGACATATTCGGAATCTTGATGATACCGCTTGAACGGCTCAGAGGGCTGCTTCTGTGGCGATGATAATGAGTGATCACCCAATAGGCTCTTCTTCCCCTTAGACTGACAAACAGACTGTTAGTAATTAAAATAGAGTTTATTTTAAATCAGCTGAATGTGTAGACCTATACATATATACCTTTGAAGGATGTCCTAATGTAAGAAGACGGCCAGGCCAAGCGACAAAGCTACCCACTGCTTGAGCCACTGTCTCTGCATCTGGGGTGGGCATCGGAGGGCATAATTCGCATCAATAGCAGTGTTCAACTGCACCCTCACATGATCAGCAGGGAGAGGCACATTATGAATCATACTCTCCCCCTGGTAAATTGAACATGCGGCCCGTTGCAACAGTGTGATGTTTAGGGCTATCTGCCATACACTGAACGTCCGCTTCACCCTGATTTAACATGAGAGACAAGTTAGCTAGATATATAAATTATTGAATGTAATTGTATAAACACAAGTATTATACCTCAGGTAGCAAGGGGAATGTGCAGCTGTCTTTGCCACTTGGGCTGAGATTCGGAGCCGCTGTGGTGCTTGATTCTTGATCAACTGCTCGATTAGGAGCGCTTGCGCTTTAACTTGCTCCTTTAACCAGCGTGTTTCTTCCTTCAGCTCCATGAACTCAGCAGAGGAAGGCGTGCACGATGAAGAGGGCTTTTGTCGGTACCCGAAGTAATCCCTCTTGGTGACTCCATAACCGACGCCCCTAAGAAGACCAGGATGGTCAGGAGTCCCCAATGCCCTCCTCAATATATCCTGGTCATCTGCAGAATATGCCCCCTGCGAAACTTCCTGGGACAAACTCTCCTGTGCAACAAACATTGACATAGTTATTCATACTTAAAGATATTTGACAATAACGTGAGGATTATTTAATTTAGAATAATACTCACCATCCTGTCCACGACCTCCTTAACGCGAGGATTATCAATTTGGCCATCTTTATTTTGCCTGGCCAATGCCCACAGCATCTGACGGGATACAGTGACATCTGATCCCTCCTTCTGAGTCACCTCTTGCTCGAGGCCCGCATAACCCAAGCGCCCCTTTCGGTAGGGATATTCATTCTTCTTTACCCTTTCCTTATTTTGGGTACTTAATTCCTGCAAAAACAAAATAGATTCACAATTAAACAGTATATAGATTAAACAAAATGGACTATTTAATATCGAAAAGAGCGAGGATTATTACTTGAAATTGACTATCACGACGTGACGTCACAAAAGCAGCCCAATCCTCTGGTTTGACCAAGTCCCGTATCAAGCTAGGAACCTCGGACTCATCGGCTGTGGAAGGATCCTTCAAGTACTTGTGTGTCACAAAGTATCGAAAAGAGCGCAGTGCCCTCCCAGCCTTCCCCTCCACAAACTTCTTCCTGCTCTCATCTATATCAAATGCAGACTGCAAAACATATAAAACAACACATTAGTGTCACGCAGCTTGTAAGAAAATGAAATGAGTTGTTATAATATATTACCGATACATCTGTCCAAATAGCGTCTCACACTGAACGATCAACCCTCCTCCAGTGCTGTGCTGTAATGGGCACGGTGCTTCGTGCCACTGCCCCAATATAGCTAATAAATTTATTTGACCTTACAGCTTGTCCTTTCTTATTCCATTGTACGGCAAATTTCTTTCCTTCCGTTTGAGCTTTCACGACCTCTTGCATGACACAAAGGCCCCTCTGTATGCGTGCTGCCTCGTCTTGCAACTGTCTCTCCTGGTCAGAGGCATCTCTCGGCTGAGATGGATTATCGGTGCTAGATCCGCTATTGTCTGCCATCTGCAATGAAATTCAATTAAACAAAATGAATCAGAATCCATTAAATGAAAATAAAGTCATTAATGACGAAATTGACTTGAACAAAATTAAAACAAATAAAAGAATCATAGAAAATAATAAGAGAATTTACATGCATGTTTAAGAAGATCTTTTTCTTTTTCTACTCTTATGTTTTTGCATATTCTTCTTGGTTTGAATTGTTTTGATCTTCTTACGAAACACTTTCCCCCTCTTTGAAATCCATATTCCGTCATTGTGATCGTGCCTGACGTACATGGATTGATCTTCATTTAAATGAGAATCAAGTGATGTCCCTTGAAATGGATCATCTTCAACTGCATTGTCTTCATACCCTGTCTCTTCAATATTCATTTTATTAGTCAACAAAACAATAGACCATCCTTTAGTAGTCGGGTCAGGGACATAAAACACTTGTGTAGCCTGAGAAGCCAAAATGAATGGCTCTTCCTTGTATCCTTCCTTATTCAAATTCAATTGTATGAACCCTAAGTCATCAATCCTTAATGCATTATTATTATCCACCCACTTGCAACCAAATACCGGAACTCTGAATTCAATGTAATCCAACTCCCAAATATCCTCAATCACTCCAAAGTATGACATACGTGCATAGATAGGATTTTTATCTTTGGCACTTGATATATGCATGGTACTAGCTACAAGAGTTACGCCACTATTTTGCTGTTTACTCTGATCATCTTGCTGTTAGTATAGAAAGTGAACCCATTGATAAGGTAGCTTGTGAAAGAAATCACATGTTTGCTCGGTCCATCTGCCAACAACTTTAATTTCTTCGAAACAGAATTAGGATCATTATTATACTTGCCATGCACCTGCTCTCTCAACCATGCTGTAAATTGTTTATTGTGTGTTTTGGTGTACCAACTTTCAAGTTTATTGGGATTATCCCTCTTTAGCTCATCAATATGCTCATGCACATAGTCCTCAATCTCTTTGGAGTTGCAATACATATAGATGTGCCTGCTCTCACTGTTGGTTTGAAATAGTTACAACTTTCTTTCCCATAATCCCTTCTCCATCTGTCCTTCCCTCATGACGAGACATTGGAACCCTAATATCACTTGCATTTTTTAAGTAATGGGTACAAAATTCAGTGGCCTCTCACAAATATATCGTTCTACGATACAACCCTCTGGCCGACTTTGATTTTTCACATACCCTTTCAATATTTTCATGTAACACTCAACTGGGTACATCCATCTTAAATACACTGGGCCACACAGTTGGACCTCTCTAACTAAGTGGACGGTTAAATGGACCATGATGTCAAAAAAGGCCAGAGGAAAATACATTTCAAGTTCGCATAACGTAACTATGATTTGGGTTTGCAATCTTGGCAATTTACTAGGATTAATCACTTTGCTGCAAAGAGACTTAAAGAAGAAACATAACTTTGTGATCGTAACTCGCACCTTATCAGGTAAAATTGCCCGTATTGCCACTGGAATAAAGTTTTCCATTAAGACATGATAGTTATGAGATTTTAAACCTTTTAACTTCATATCCTTCATTGAAACAAGGTTACTAATGTTAGAAGAGTAACCTTCCAACACTTTTACTGAAGCAAGAAACTCACAAAAACTACTTTTCTTTTTTCTAGAAAGGGTGTGAGCTGCCAGATGAAGAAATGTACGAGTTCCTTATCCTCTGGTGCCAATTCCTCCCTTATCCCCATTTCAACTATGTCTAACCTGGCATTTATGCCATCTTTAGTCTTCCTAGGAATATGGAGTAATGTGCCAAACAAACTTTCACATACGTTTTTCTCAATATGCATGGCATCAAGAAAATGTCTCACATTTAGGGTTATCCAATACGGTAGTATAAAGAAAATAGACCTCTTCTTCCACCCACTTGTCCCAACATGCTTTGTGAAAGGTTTTCCAAATTCACAATCTATATCTTTCACCTTTTGAAATACATCCTCCCCAATCAACGGTGTAGGTGCCTTACCTTCTTCTGAATTCCCATTGAAATATTTTTTGAATCGCCGGTAAGGATGATCACGATGCAACCATCTACGATGTCCCATATATGAATTTTTCATTCCATGCTTCAACCTTATGGAATCTGTGCTCTCTTCACAAATGGGACAACCAAGTTGCCCTTTAATGCTATACCCTGAGAGATTACCATACGCAGGAAAGTTGTTAATTGTGCCAAATAACATAGCTTTCAAATTGAATGTTTCTTCCTTATATGCATCATATACATCAACTCCATTCTCCCACAATACTTTCAAGTCTTCAATTAATGGAGCTAGATATATATCTATGTCATTTCCCGGTTGCTTTGGCCCAGAGATTATCATAGACATCATTGAATACTTGCGTTTCATGCATAGCCATGGATGAAGGTTATATATAAACAAAATTACTGGCCATGTGCTATGGGTGCTGCTTTGCATCCCATACGGGTTCATCCCATCAGTGGCTAATACAAGGCGTAGATTTCTATCTTCCTCAAATTCAGGATACTCAATATCAAACTTCTTCCATTCTGGAGAATCAACAGGATGGTGAAGCATGCCATCTTTAACCCTTTCATCCGCATGCCACCTTAAATTTCTCGCATCTTCTATATTACTATACAAACGTCTAAATCTTGGCACAATGGGAAAATACCATAATGCCTTCTTCGGGCTCTTCCTATTCTCTTGGTAGCGCGATGCATTACACTTAGGACACTCAGTTAGTGACTTATACTCCTTCCTAAACAAAATGCAATCGTTGGGGCAAGCATGTATCTTCTCATAGCTGAGGCCGACAGAGCGCAACACTTGCTTTGCATCATACGTTTTACTTGGAAGCTCATTTTCTTTCGGTAGCATTTGTTTAACAAGCAACAGCAGTTCTGTGAAGCTTGTGTCGCTCCACCCATTTCTTGCTTTCAAATTATACAGTTTCAACACTGCAGACAATTTTGTGAAATCAGTACAACCTTCATATAGAGGTGTCTCAGCATCACACTTCAATCTGTCAAACATTTCAGGACAATCGTCAAGTTCCCGTTCAATCGCATTTGTCATCTCCTCAAGACGATCAGCTTCATATGTACTCATGTCAACATTAAATGATCCACAGCTTTCACTATGCCCTCGACTACTATTACTCACATCTCTTGTCTCTCCGTGCTTTGTCCAACACTTGTAACTTTGATCAATTCCATTGATAATTAAGTGGCTCTCACAATCGGATGTGAAACCCACTTCAGAAGGCAACACTTAAGACAGGGGCAAATAATCCTGTTGCGATCAGCGGCGTGCTCAATCGCAAACTTAATGAAATCTTCTACCCCATCCCAATATTCTTTTGATAGACGATTGGTAAACATCTATTCCTTGCCCATGGTCCCCGACTAAGATGAATCATTTAAAGGAAAATGTGATCAGCGACTCCAAGATATTGTGAGAATTACACAAAAATAGAAAGTTAACACATGAGGCACTATTGATCACATTTATCCCTCTTTAATTCTACTTGTTAACAACTAGTAATTCTAGTTGTTAGCAACTAGTAATTCAACAAAAATTCACTTTCACTTCAGTTTGAAAAATATTCTACTACTACTGATGTGCTATTCCATTTGAAAAAAATTTGGCAGCATAACGGCTTATAACTTAGCATTCTAAGGCTTTATGGCAAAAAACCAGCAGTCAATCAATTTCAATTACAGAAACAAAAATTGAAACATTAGCAATTTCGATTATTTACCAAACAATTTATGGTGAAAACAAAAATTGAAAATACCCTAAACCCAAAAACCCATTCGAAAGACCCATTTGGCCGAATAGCAAAACCCATTCGGCCGAACAGCAAAACCCATTTTCCGTGTGTGCATTGTGAACGGTCCTAATATCATCCTATCATCCTCTTTCAACTACAATCATATCGAACGAAACACTAAAGGAAATGAGGGGAGCGAGTGACAAAGGAGGACCAACCTGAAGCTCTCAAATATGGAGAACAATGTGTGACAACCGTATGCCGGAGGACACCGCAGCAATGAAGGAGGACAAAGACAGCGACAATGATGGAGGGCGATCAATAAAAACCAAAGGGAAGGGCCGAAAATGAGGTGGGTATGGCGACGAAG